TGATGGAGGCGCTGTCTGTCATTTCCTGGTGTATTGTATGTACCTCAGCTGGGGGTTGTCAGCATATTGGGTTTCCTGATTTAGTGACCTTGTAACAGGGTAACAGTCTGAGTTGTTAGGGTTGCAAGAACCTTTTCTTTTTTTCTTTTTTTTTTACTTGTGGAAAATAATCAAATTAAGTCGAATAGAATTGTCCAGATATTATTCCTTACACCAGGGGTCAGTGTTTCACCTCGTAGCGCAGATATTTGTGTATTCACATTGGTCAGACTTTTAAATGTTTTATTCATTGACTTGGAAGACAAGTTTGTCTTACTGCAATGTTTTATTACTGTGCGTCTTGGCGGTCTCTTGTAGAATACTTCTATAGTTTTTTTTTGTCAAAACAGTGAAGTCCTTGTCTACAACAATATCAAAATAATCAAATTAATTAGGGTATATATAATTAACTAATAACAAATAATTGCATTTAAATCACATATCAATATCAAGTGTGGGATCACATCCACCCCGGGTCGCGGGGGCAGCAATCTCCACGACCGCCATTATTATTATTATTATTATTATTATTATTATTATTATTATTAGGGTCGAAAGAGGAATGTTTAATTTAAAAATAGAAGAGAATTATTTTCTCTGGAAGTGGTACAGGAGTAGCAGATACTGGTACACAAGCGTAGAGAGCCCTCTAGCGGCCGTCAGTGTGAAAATAACAAGCGTGAAATTATATATTTTAATATGTAAGTCTTCGTTCTTCAAGAACTGTATGTTTATTTTATTATTGCATTTATTATTTTATTTTTCCATATTGCAGCGCACATCTGCTGCCTTTGGGTGCAGTAAATGCTTAATTGAATAATGTTTCAACAGGAAATGTACCTGGGTTCTTTCAAATTACTACATATGACGAATATGGGTCAAAAAAAAATATACCTTTTAACAAAATTTTTTTAAATTGCAAAGACATTCGTACAGGCTTTGGCCCAACTTTGGTTGGAACTGACTGGAATATGAGTTGTCGTAAAAACCGAGGCTTGCGCGTTTAGGATGCGTTTTGTGTCTTCAGCTTGATGTGGTTAAGATGTTTAGTCACTTTAGAATCCTTCTGTGTATCATAAATTATGTCGCAAATCGGCTCCAAAACCATCCCACCTACATGTCAGCTGCAGGATGCGAGAGAGTTGTACATTTTCGGATCTCTCTAGAGAGAAACTACGTTATTTAGGTTATCTCTGGTTATAGCTTACAAAAAAAACCAAAAAAAAAAACAGATGTGCAGCGACTGTTTCTTAGCCTTACCTTCACTCATAAACGTACATTATGCCTAAAACGTGACTGGCTTTTAGAGTAAAGGAATAACTTTAAAACCATTATGAACCCACGGACTGTAAACCACGACCTTATTAACTTTACGGCCCAGTGATTATATTTCCACTCTATGCACTCCACCTCAGTGGTGGACATCAAGGCTTTCAACCTGTTTCTGCTTAAAAGCTTACTGCTGCCCCCATAGTTGATCCACCAACAGTCGTAAAGGGACAGAAGAGACACAGGAGTCTGTCCTTTGGTCTATGAGGACTCTAAATAAACCGTTAGAGCATGTGTCAAACTCGAGGCCTGCGGGCAAAATGTGGCCCGACCCAGTCGTATTTGCTACTCTCTGTACTTAGAAAGCAGTTCAGTAGAAATGTTTCGTTCGACCGGCCGGTTATTCGGATCGGCAAATTTTCAGCAACGGGGCGGAAAACACATTTTTTTCCTAGCTTTGCGTTTGTTCTGCGTTGGAGAACTCACTCTCACAAGCTAATGCTAACGTGTATTTAGCTTGGAGGTACTAAACAATAAGCACAGAACACCAAGCTTACTACAACGGGGTCCTCGACGTTTGTTGGAATTTTGGTTCTACGGTGTGACTAGCTACATTTTCGCGGTGAGTCGGAAATGTATGGGAGATGGCATGTCGTAAATTTGGGGTGTTGAAGTTTGCAATTCTGTTGCGGTTGAAACGACATAAGGGAGAGACAGGATAAATGTAGGCTTCATAAAACTGGCCTGACATCAATAGGGCGAAAGAGATGTTCTAAAGGTGAACAAAAAGGAAAAAAGACTTTAAATTGACTTTTTTTCTTCTGTTTTTGGATCATGTCCTTTTAGCTCATAGGCAGATGGTCAGTATACCCTTTGCTGTAATGAGGTGATCACATATGGCAGCGTGACTGTGTGTTTTTGTCCCTCATAAGAGCTCTCCTACGCCTCTTGCCCTTCCCTCTCCACCCCCCCAACGTTGCCCATTGATGTCATTGGCCGCTACAATCGAGACTACTTCTGACTGGAACGCTGTGACCGCTGCACAATGAGAGGCGGATAGGGGATGGGTTGAACAGCCACGGGGATAAAGGAGGCGATCAATCACCGAACCGTTCAAGTGGGGCAACAATGTTGGCTCTAGGAGGATCACAGAAAGCAGGGTAAAGAAGGGAAAAGGAGAGAAAAAGGGAGCGAGTTGTAGCCAGCTAAATCTGTACCGGGATATCTTTTGATCTTTCTGATTTGTGGGAGAAATAAAGAAAAGAAGACAAATGGAGCTCGAAAAAATAAGCTGGATCTCATTGCTGTAACTCACTCTTGTGAGTGAGAGGTGTTAAACTGAATGGAGCGATGCCAAAAGTACAGAAATAGAAGGTCGGAGAGATATGAGGGAGAAAGAGAGAGAGAGTGAAGCAGAGAGGGAAGGACAGAGATGAAGAGCAGAGGTGAGGGTGGGCGATGTAGAGCGATCAAGCGACGCAACTATTGAGTGTGGAAGCTTTTAGTGCGCCATCGTATGGAAGGACGGAAATAGAACCTGACCCTGGCCGCAGCAGCGCCATGGACCACCACCAAGGGATTTCCTCACCTTCCGGAAGGACAAGAAACATCACAGAAAGAAATTGGAGATAAGGAAAAAAAACACAAAAATGATGGATTCAGGTGCCAGAGGAGTTCTCCTTTAAACTCTGTTACCACACAGACTCGTTGATGTGGTTATAAGGAACTCATTGTCTTGCCATTTTCAAGAATATGCTGACTGGGCCCTTTTCCGAGAAGCACAATGAAGGTGGGAGTTGTTGGAAGAACGCACTGGAGCTAGCAACACAACTCCGTGAATGACACCCAGATTAGTGGAGTCGTCTTCTACAGTAATCCGGACGACAGAGCGTCCGACTTAAGTGCCCGGCTTTACTCTGGGACAGCATAAGAACCGCAGCTGCAGCGATCTGAGCACCTCAAAGACACCTCAGCCCAAGGATGGGAGAGACGGCAGAGTACCAGAGGCTTCAGGAGAGCACGGAGCCTTGTTATCAAAGCCTGCCAGGTGATGATGAAGAGGTACGACTCTCGCTGACGCCATGACGACATTAGAACTGCTGGTACAAATGTCACGGGCTGGTGTAAAGGAGAACGGAACGTGTTACAAATACCTTTGTTTTTCGACTTCGGATTTATTTTGTTATTGCGAATAACAGTTATGCAGGGAATAATATTTGCACGTCTTTGAGCCAACGCTGAAAAGATAGAGACATTTGGTCACCAGGAACTTTATTGGTCCTGATTTTTTGCGGTATTTATGGTGTGTTCACATTTTATTTACCAGACCACTGAGTCTCCTACCTCTTCTTTTTTTTACTTTTATTACCAACTGGCTTCCTTTATGTTTCAGTACTGTACAGGGGGTCATTGACTTGCATTACATTTTTATTATTTATTAAGTGGGGCTGGCCCTTTTTGGGGGGGGGCTTGAGGGGCTTTGAATGGAATATAGCGTGCATATGGACATAAGTGTACCACCTCTGTAATGCATGAATGATAACAAGCCACTAGGTGGCAGCAACTCATACAGTGGTTTGTACAGATAAAAATATACACGTTATCAGGTTCTCCTGGTTCAGGTTCTGAGCTGTCAATCGGCTTTACATTGCGTATTTTTTCGTGTTTGCGATCGTGTCGGTGCCATTATGATTTTTTTTTTTTTTTTTTTTGATGAAATTGCTAACTATGTTTGCTTTTACTGCTATAGTCTGAATTCAGCTTCTGTCTTTGGTGAAAAGGGAGTCGCACAAACAAATCGTGCACAATTGCATGCTGCCACCATCCTCCCCATCCAGCCAGCCGCGCACACAGCAGCACTCAGTTATTGAATATGCAACAACTAGGTCATTGACAAATATATTCTGAATGAGGACAGTGACTAACATGGTGTTAGTGAGAGAAACTTTTTTTTTTTTAGATTTTTTTTTTGTCTATGTAGGCAGATGGCATTTTAATTGAAAAACAATTGTGCATTTCCTGCGTTTACTAATTGCTCAGTACACACTCTTGGTGTATAATGATAGACGTTGCATAGGGGGTATTTAAAAAAAAAAAAAAAGTATTTATCTGTGCCACAGCTTTAATGTCATGAATGGGGACTTTTCTCGTTTTCTCTGAGTTAAGCAGGATTAAAGCCAGCTGTCCTGCTTTCTGGATGCTTAATCTGATCAGTCTCTTGTCTGCAGTGGCAACCAGACTGATTACAGTGTGTGTAGTTAGCAGAGTCCCGTCCAATCGTGATGCGTTGGGGGGAAAACATTTACAGTACTTCTCCCGCTTATTCTGTCCTTTGTTGATCTCTGTAAATGAAGGACAAGCTTGGTTGACTGAAGAGGACACGGATGTTCCGCTTCGGCTGTAGACTCGCTGTCGGTGAGGGGATTTAAGTAAAGAATGAAACTAATGCAGGCAGCGGGTTCTTATCTGCGATCACATGGGATCGACGCATCACATGCATCGGCATCACGTGTCGCTGACATAGCTGTAATTGGAGACATCATGACATTTTGATTTTTCTATACCTTTCGCTCAACTCCTTCATTTTTTTACATGCATACTCCAAACCACTGATGATTGGATCTTCTGTATTCACTCAGCTACTGTATATAATGTGAATACATTCACATCCTGAATGCCTGGGTTTGTAACGCTACCGAATCGGGCCTTAATTTGTGTGTCTTTGTGCTGATGATAGACCTCACACAGAGCTTTGTTCTTCATCAACCTCGTCAACCAGTCACTCTCTAATTCGATGTCAGTTTGTGGTCAATTAGCTACTGTGTCACAAAACCCGGCATGGGTATGTGAATGAGCTGTGTGTACGTGATGGAGAGGAGAGATGAGATGAGATAGGAGATGGAGGCCAGACGTTATGGCCTACAGATGTCGCCTTACTGTCAGAGTGAGGATCTGGGCAAGGCGGATAAATAAGGGTAGTTTAGTATAATATGTATAACCACGATGTTCAGCGGACATTTTTTTAAATCGTCCAAATATGTGTAGAAGGTCGTAGAAGGTCGTAATTGATAGATAGGAAGGTAGATAGATAGATACGGATACCTGCTTTGTTGTACCGTATAAATTCTTTTCAGGTATTTACCTCGTAGTAAAGACCATGTGTAGAGTAAATAAACAGACACCTGATACTTACAGTATGTCCGGTATGTACAGTATGCCCCGTGTTAACTAACAAATGTGACGAATAAAGTAACCGGTGAAGCTGCCCTTGATCTTAGTGTTAGTTTTGCTTGCCTTATCGCTTCATCGGTGAAGGTGGCAGCTGGTGAAGTTGCCCTTGATCTTAGTGTTAGTTATCGCTTCATCGGTGAAGGTGGCAGCTGGTAAAGCAAGATTTGGTTTTCCAGCCAGATTAGGGTTAGGGTTAGCATTTCTGTAGAACTCTGAAGTCTCCCTCATGCTATTTTGTTTTCCCCCTCTAGCAGCTTCCCTCTTTCACTCCTTCCTGCTCTCCCTCTTACTGGGCCTGGCCAAGTCATTTTCTCCTATATTTGGTTGTGCCTTCTATTTCCTGCCTTTTAAATCTCACAAATGTTATCTCTGTCTGCCACCCTACTGACCAAACAAACTATACCGGGCTATTTTCAGAGCCCCAAAGTGATAGCATACTCCCCTTATCACCTGTTACTGTACAACATGTATTTGACATTTGCCATCGCTCTCTTTTCATTGATCAACAATCGATCAAAATATATCATCCGTTTTGGCGCAATGTAGATTCAAATGTTTTGATGTAGATTCAAATGTTTTGCCTTTGCTTCCGACTTGAATGTCTTTCTTGCCGTCTTCTCTCCTTTGCTTCCGACTTGAATGTCTTTCTAGAGGTGATGGGGAATATGGGAATTTTCATGAAGCATTCTGACTTTAATTAAAGAAAGGGTCCACACGTGGTGCTGCGTTGAAGGGTTCTGTTGGTTTGGTATGTCGCTTTGGTTTGAGTTCACTTCAAGGCTTTTTTTTAAAAAAAAAATTTTACTTAGAGTTTCTAGTAAAACCAAAATTGCATGCAAAATACCAATATGACGTTGTAATTTAATTTGGATCCTATACGTATGTATTTCATTGACCGATTCAGTGCTTCAAGTGTGTGCCTATCCGTATGTGTTGGGGGGAGTTGCATCACAGGAAACAACCTCTCCTTCCTCCAGCTGAATGTAACCCTTTGGCCCTTGATCAAATGCTTCTCTGGCCCCGAATACCATGAAGCCTCTGTCCTCTGCACCACGCACGGCTTTGCACTACATGAACTGTCTCGCTGCCTGCAGAAGCCTCTAGGAATAGGGCACAACAGAGAGGGTTGGAGGGTATAGACGAGAAGCGAAACCAACCAACGTAGACCCGAAGGATATTATTGTTCTTTAAAAGCAGCCAGACGTACTGTTTATCTTGTAATCTAAAATGGGAAACCGGAGACGCTCCACTCTCTGTGGCACCCGCTCTCTGCTGTCTGACCAACTGTCAAGCTGTTCAATTGGGGAGAACGCTTACCTATTTTTAGCCCCACGCTTGATGAAAAATGGAAACGCAAACAGACAGAAGCTGCACGCGCAAGACAGAGTCAGACAGTAAAAGACCCAGGCGCGAGAGACAGGGGGGGGGAGAGGAAGAAGGAGCCGGGGCAAAAAGAGGAGTGACTTATTTGTGAAGTTCTCCCAAGTTTAAATCACTGGGTCACAGCTCTCGGCGGAGGAAACATGTCTAGGTCTGGGATAACTGAGAGATTTTTAACGCTACGATACACAGTTATTTGCAATTACCCGGCAGGCTTTTTTTCATCTCTGAGTTCTCTGTAAATTCATTTTGCTTTACTGAGAGAGCCTTGACTTTGTGAGAGAGCCGATGGTGAGAAAGGGGCTTACAGAAGGATTGTGCCCCGCCATGGAATGTTGCAGAACTCTGGACAGAATCGTAGGAAGTTTTTCTTCCCCCTCTTTGCAGGGTTTGCAGCTCTGAGTCTGGATTCAAGGAATGTGTGCACTTCTTAGAATTTCCTCAGAGACTGGGAATGTCCAACTGGGAGCACTGTAGCTCTGGTAATGTTTTGGAGAACTAAAAATCAGCTCTGGGCATTTAAACGTGCACACAGAAAAAAAAAAAATATATATATATTTTTTTTTTTTCTTTTTTACACTTACAATCCATCCAACCATCTAGAAATCCAGAATGCGGCGCTTTGACAAGCTGAAAAAGTCATTCCCATTCCTGGCACACTTTCATGTGTACCAAGTAAGTCTGCTGTTTGCTGTTTGTTTTTCCTCTGCTTCGAAATAAGATTTACTCATTGGTAGATGGGCTAAATGCTGCGGTTTACTGCGTTAAGGATCATGTGGGTTTTCTCCAAATGTTTTGTACATACCATTTGTACCGCCCGGCACATTATTTTTGGACGCTTTATACTTGAAGCGGACAGAGGCAGTCCCTCAGGGTCCGCTTGGAGGATTGTTGTTATTGTAACAGGATGTTAGAGCAGAACAGATTCAGGACATGGTGTGTGTGTGTGTGTGTGTTTTTTCTTGTACCATGAGGAATGAGTTTAGGCCAGTGGCATTTCTCAGTAGGTTGTTGTTTTTTTTTTTAAACTCCTACACGTCTAGTTGCCCTCTTTTTGGCGTAGCTTATAAGAATGTCTCACACGGCACATATATACATTCAATTGATGGGGATAATGTCAGTAAAATGTCACTGAGTAAAACCATAAAGATCACGTAGATCACATGTTAAACCTAAGGCCCGGGGGCCAAATGGGGCCCGCCGGGTCATTTTGTATGGCCTGGGGGAGCTTTAAAAAAAAAAAATTTAATAAAGTCCATTCAGCGTAGTTAACCTGGTAAATTAAGAGTTTTTTTTGTATGACAATGAATAATATTTGTGACTTGAATAAGTAATAATCAATTTCAGAAATTTTTATTACTATGGAGTAGTTACATTTCTACAGCCTTCCACTTATAACCGGCCCTTCAAGGGGAACGGTATTGCTAACAAGGCCCCCTAGTGAAAATGAGTTTGACAGCCCTGTTGTAGATGGTTTATAATACAGTTCAACAAATCATACTATTCAGGGTTTATTGATAACCTTTTACCCAGTGGGCCTTTGCTGTTCATGATCGATAGCCCTTATCGATGAAGTTGTTATTCTTGTTGAGTTCGGTGAGCGTCAATAAAATGCGTTCCTAGCTTCTTTGCCCGGAGGAAGAAGAGTCTTCATTTGCTATTCTAAATATTTCTTCACTATACCATACAGAGCTTATGTAGTAGGGGGTTTGTGTTTCTCACACACACACACACACACACACACGTCACAGTCCTGTCGGATATATACAATAATCTTCTGACGCAAGCCCATTCCTGTAACTTCTAGTCCAGGGGCTGTTTAAAGGCTTTTGCATTTTTCATCATCTTCTCAGATCACAATACTGTCATGTGGTCTAATGGTACACATGGTATATACGTTTATTCTTTACAAACGCAAAATACCATTAATTTAGCTTTTTTTTAAAAAAATGTAACCATTTCAGTTAATGTCTATTTCTCAGTAACTGACCGAGAAGTAATTTGGTCCAGAGGAGCTTTGTTTTGACCCTCGTATCTCATTTATGACAGTGTTGTGGAGAAACGCCCGACAGGAAGCCGAGTTGCGTCTTTGGCACCATCCGGTGAAGTAACACTTACTTGTTGACTTCTAGAGAAGATCAAATTCGGAAGCCGCGGTTTTAGAGGTTCAGTGGACCAACACTCGGACATGTTTTTCAGGATTTCTACCAAAATATATATCCAAATGTCAACGACGGGGGGGAGAAACTCAAGATGTGAACTGTACTTAACCTGAACTGCGGCTCAAATAAGCATGCCGCGTGGAAGGAGAGCCGAGCACATACTGTATCAAACCAGCCACACAGACTGTGTGGTGTCGTCTTTCGGAGGGGGATAACGGTCAGGCATGATGCAGCGAAATGCAAAATATGGCAATGGATTCAAATGACTGCTGCTGTACCTAATCCTAGAACAAGGCATTTACTAGCTTACTGTGTTACCTCGGGTTATCTGTACTCCTTGCGTCCTTTAATCGGAGATGAGATATTTGTCTGACACTAAAGAATGTTTAACCTGTCCGTTCAAAGAGGCAAAACTATTATTACTCCACCATTATTTGGCTTTGTACTAGGGTAACAGAATTCACCCTCTTGGGACTCGTTCTGAAAATACAATCTCCAACAATTGGCCCTCGCATTCTCTATTTCTTGCCTTCCGTTAAAAAAAAAACTCCTCATAGGAAGTGCCCTCTAATCAAGCCCACCAAAGATTTTTGCCGCAGAGAGCAAGATTCGACCCCTGTGACATTTTCCTCTGGCCCTCGTAACGTTGCTTCTGCCAGCACAGGAAGTTCTTCATTCGCTGTCCAATTACCCCTGAGTGAACTGACCCAATGCCCCCCCAGAACGTCCACGTCCTGCCAAGATCAACAGATGTGGAGCTTGAGCAATTTCGTGTGGATTTAGGTTCGCGCAGATGCCTCGAATTCCCTTGTGAGAGCAGATTTAAAGAGTTTTAAAAAGGGATAATTAGTATTTGTTTTTTTTTTTTGATAGTTTGACTTACAAATTGCTAATATTTTTTTGTGAGGTGTAATTCATTTTAGCTGGTTACAAAAGGTAGGACAGTGGTGGATGGATGATATGTGAAGCTGAAAGGCTGTGTTTTGATAAGAAGATTAATGGTCTGGCTCGGTTAAGTACGGCTATATATATTTTCTGCTCAGAATGTTTGGGAGTCGACCATTTTTCACATCTTTTTTTTTTTTTTACCCTCCTGTGCCTGAAATGTGTCTGCAGAAAGAAAGCTTTTGTTTCCGCTGCCAAAAAAACCTTGTGCTTCTGATCTACCGATCGTATTTGATGTTATGTGAAAACAGTTGTAAAATTTGGTCTGCTGCCTAGTTGTCTCTGTCTACATCAGTGGTTCCCAAACCTCTTTTGCTGGGCCCCCAACCTTAAAAAAAAGGGGCAAACATTTTTTTGTTTTCCGACTTGTTTATTTCAAACATTTTAAATGTAACTGTTTTTACGCACCATAATCTTTTATCATTTTATGCTAGCAATGCCAACTTTGGTCAGTTGGCAGGAGTGAGATTTTGTGGCGGACGGTGCTACTGTTGCTTCGAGCAGATCGAACGGCCAACAGCAAAAACGAGAGGGAGAATTCCAAATAATGGCCACCTTTACAATACTTTTTCACCGCCTTCAACCAGTTTGTTTTTTTGCCAGTCTCTTGTTAAGCACTTACGACATTGGACAATATGCTGCGTTACGTTTTATTCATTAACTCCATCCGCGTCCCCGCAACAGTAGCACTGCGCCCGCCCCAGATAGCGCGCTCCCCACTTTGGGAACCTCTGGTCTGGCAATTTCTTTGAAACAAAGCTTGACTAAATAATCAAGAGTAAGTACGCATTAGTAATTGTTTTCTGTGTGTGTTCTTGTCACCTGCAGAAACTGGGCAGTAGCATGCAGTGTGAGGAGGGAACAGAATGGCTGATGGAGCTGCTGATGGAAGTGCAGTTGCAGCAGTACTTCCTGAAGATCAGAGACGACCTCAACGTGACCCGCCTGTCCCACTTTGATTACGTCAAGAATGAAGACTTGGAGAAGATCGGCATGGGTCGACCTGGTAAGACATTGCTGCAACAGGGATGTTGATCTGTGCTCCCTTTAGTTTGACCCCCATCTCTCTAATTGAGGTTATTTTTTTTTAAATGTCCTTTATCTTTATCTGTTGTATTTTTATATATATATATTATATATTTTGCTATATATAATATATCTATATATTATAGCTATATCTGTCACCTCAAGTATTCTTCCAGTTAGATAGAGCAATGACTCAAAACATGAGTCAACAAGCTGATTTTTTTTTTCTTTTTTTGTGATACAAGGTATGTTGTCACAACATTTAAGAGTAATGACTTAAAACATGAGTCGACAAGCTGATTTTTTTTTTCTTTTTTGTAATACAAGGTATGTTGTCACAACATTTAACTCTTTGTGTCTTCTTCTAAAGGACGGAGACGGCTGTGGGAAGCAGTGAAAGGAAGAAAAGCCATGTGCAAACGCAAGTCCTGGATGAGCAAGGTAGGCTATAAAGTAACAGGCTCCGGCTGTCAAACAATAATTTTTAGCCATGGATCGCAATTAAGCATTTTTAATCGTGGTGAAGATGAATGACGATAAAACAATGTTAAATATGACTAAATATTTTTTTATGTGTATTGCTGGAACAGAAAGACAAGCTAATATATGTATTTCTGTTTCGCAACTACTTGTCATTTGTTAACGTGGAAAAATAGCAAGAAAAACATGCAGAAGTGTAACTCAAAGTTTAGCTTTGTAGAGTTGGCGTATTGAAGTCGTTACTGTGCATCTTGACAGGTTAAGAGTTTCTTTCAAAACTTCAGTGAAGTCTTTCCCCTTAACAATATTAATCAGGCTACAATACCAGCTACAGGCTAAGACTTACTTACTTACTGAGTGAGGCTAGCACAGGCGTGGGCTAACTTTTTGACTCACGGGCCACAATTGTCCTAAAATTGAAATTGCAGATAGATGCAGATACAGTAATACAGTTTATTTTTAAATGACAAATGACAGAGCAGCTCTCTGTCATTTAAAGTCCTCAGTCTGGTGTCATTGTCTGGTTTAACCGAGACATTCTCGGGCGACGGGCAGAAGAGGATACAGGCCCATGTGATTCCTTTGTTTGCTGCGCGAAGTCTGTCAGTGTTTCTGACAGATGTGTGAAACATTCGCTCGGAGAGAACCCGCTCGCATGAGGCTGAGCAGCACGTCCGCATTAAGACACCAGTAAACACATAAACACGGGTCAAGTCACAAGAGCTGGTGACACAGATTTGGACCGCGATGTCTTCACGGAACTGCGGCTTACCGGCGAGTGAAGTTTCTTACGCGCATGACGCAACCCGTAGAAAACTAAAACAAACACACACTTGTGTGTGTGTGTGTGTTTGTGTGAGTAGAGAATTTAGAGGCTCCTATTTGAAACCCACTTACCACATAGTGACCACTGAGGTGGTGTTTTTAAAATGGTCTGCAGATTATGTCATGTCTGGTCCAGTGCGAATGTGAAACCGCACACCCTCGACTACTGTTTATATCTGGCAAGTCAAATATGTTTGGCACAGTGTGTGAAACACACAGTGAAACCTATTTGGTTTTACTCAACTTCCTCCCCCCTCTGAATACACGTCTGAATACTGACCTTTGTTCATTATGCTTTGTGTCAATATGTTTTTGCTCAACAAACAAGAACTTCATTTTGAGAAGCCTATGATTGAGACGCTTTGCCGTCTGTTTTCACAGCATCGTGTCCATAGTGTCCACAGTACTTGGCTCTTTAATTTTTTTTAAAAAAATTTTTAATTTGGACATTTTAATACTTAACTGCAGTAAATGAATCAAAACAAAAAAAATTTTTTTTAATTTGGACATTTTTATACTTAACTGCAGTAAATGAATCAAAACTCTCTGAATGACACTTAAACTTACGCTGATTTGTTGGTGTAATCGTTGTCAGTAATTGATATGTCATTTAAGCAGACTGCCGTGAATTTATTTCCAATCTTATTTCCAGTCTGCACGTTGTTGCCTGTGCTTTGTCTGTCAGTACAATTCAGACATTGTGTGGATTAGTTTAAGGTAGAGAATGTAAAAAAAAAAAATTTGGAAATCTCATAAAATCATAAAAAGAGCAGCTGTTAAAGTTTCAGTCTTTTAAACGAGCATCTGGTATTTTTTTTCTGTACACACCCACACTCAATGGTCTAGTGTTTCCAGAGTACAAAACCTCCAGACATCTGCAGATAGCAGATACCACAGTGTAAAGTCGAGCCAAATCAAGTTTATTTATCTATCTGTCTGTCTGTCTATTTATCTATCTAGCTAGCTAGCTATTCGCTAACATTGACGGAAACACAATTGTGCTTCTTCGCGACTTGGACAGTGAATTTAAAATGATTATTTTTGGCTCAGCCAGCAGTGTGTGAATGCTCATAAATGAGGATGTATGTTACTGTGCTGTGAGAATGCACTTATCCCTTAGAAAAAAAGCGAGAAAAATAATCGAATCATATCTACCCTTCTTCTCCAGGTGTTCAGTGCTAAGCGTCTAGATGGAGGAGATTTCCCTCAGCAGGGACAGCTAGCCTCCTCTTTTCGAAAACTTTCCCCAACACCGCCCCTCTCCCTGGGAGATGCAGTCTTGTCCCCTCAGACGGGTAGTGAAGGACAGCAGCAGGCTCTGACTTGCCTCATCCTGGAAAAGGACTTGACGCTCTTTGAGAAGCTGGGGGACGGATCGTTTGGAGTTGTCAAGAGAGGAGAGTGGTTGACACCAGCAGGGAGAGTGGTGAGAACTGTTCTTATCTAAATCCAAGTTTCTTAACTGGTATTTAAAAAAAATGATTCATGACTACATTGAATGGTACATCAAATTATTGTTGCTCTTTTTTAGTTTTGTGCTAAGATTAACCTGAAGTGTTATCATGGTCCATTGATTAGAAATACGACTGCAAAACGTGACAAATCACTCATTATTGTTTAATGTCAAAATTTACCATAGCTATAAATACTGTATTTTCTGGACTATAAGTCACACTTTTAAAATATATAATTTCAAATTTGTTCATTGTTTTCACACGGACAACCACAAGAGGGCACTGTAGGCTTGTGTAAATTAATATATATAAATTCACATGTTCATTGTTTTCACATGGACAACCACTAGAGGGCATTGTAGGATTGTGTACCAGCATTTTCTACCCGTGTACCACTGAAAATGTACGTTTTTTTCACACTGACAGCCACTAGAGAGCACTCATACACCGGAGTGACTTATAGTCCTGAAAATACGATAATCTGAAAACAGATAGAGGTAAATATTTGATGCCGGTCGCCGAACCGTCCAATCTTTACTTAACTTAAGTGTCCGGCCCCCAAGATGTCTGTCCAGAAGAAATTAATTTTGAAAGAAAATGTTGACCTTAGAATGAACCGTCCAATCAGGCATGTGACTGGATTCCAAAGTAAACATCAAAAAATAATCATGCACAAAAATTGGTTTTTTAACTCATTTTACTTAAGTGTCCGGCTCCCAAGATGTATGTCCAGAAGAAATTCATTTTGAAAGAAAATGTTAACCTTAGAAAAATATTTTTTTTGTTCGCCATTAGTAATGACTGGTATATGGTATATGTATTTGAGTTTCTACAAAAAAAATGTAGCTTAAATTAAAAAGTTGTATTATATTAAATAACCCTATTTTTACAGGTAAATGTAGCCGTCAAGTGTCTGAAGACTGATGTCCTCAGCCAACCTGATGCTCTGGAAGACTTCATCTGTGAGGTCAACGCTATGCACTCCCTGGACCACCAGAACCTCATTCGTCTCTACGGTGTGGTGCTCACACACCCGATGAAGATGGTAGTGGACACGCAGAAACTCATCCACTTAGCTTAGGCGTTGTCCTCACAATTGTCCTAAAATTTGACAGATTGCAATTGCATGTAAAAGTCATGCATAAAGGCTTAAACAAAAATTATTTTTTTCTCCACCATCTATTGGGGAAACGTAGGTATTGCAGGGAAAAGGCAGAAGTGTAATCACAATGCCAACTATATAAATAAATAATATATTTTGGAAAAGTTCGGCAGGCCGGATTAGAAAGCTGAATGGGCCGCATCCGGCCCCCGGGCCTTAGTTTGCCCATGCCTGCCATGAGTGATCGATGGAGGCTTTGAGCCACCCATGTATTTAATAATAATTTGATTTAATGTTCCCACACTACAACAGGCTGCCACTGGGTGGCGCCAAATATGTGGTTTCTCTGGAAATCAAACCCAGTAGTCTCTGCTTGATGTTTCTTGAGTTTTTCCTGAACTAAATGTATCAATTAAAAAAATGCATTAGTTGCATTACTAGCATACACTTATACATATTTAAATTTCTGTTAGTGTCTATTTCCCTTTTTTTTTTTATCCATATTTTAAATATGACAATTTTATTTGATCCCCTTCATCTCTCTCCGTGTCCTGAAGGTGACAGAGTTGGCTCCCCTGGGATCGCTGCTGTGTCGGCTCCGACGTGTTCACCCTCAGGGTCCAGTGTTGATCCATACCCTTTGCCAGTATGCCGTACAGGTGGCCTGCGGTATGGCCTACCTGGAGCAGAGGAGGTTCATTCACCGAGACTTAGCTGCCAGGTAAAAAAGTGCTCCCCACTGATGACTTTTTAGGACGGCCGAACCAGAAGTTAGTATTGCCTTTTAGGGGCTATTTTTTACTGATATTTTTTAAAAATGTATGTATCCACCTCCTTTTGTGCTCCACCCAAACATTCGCAGACCATTATGGCCAGTTGGCACTCAGAAAAAAAAAAAAATGACTCATTCGACATCATACTGTGCAGGGTGGTCCTGGTTTTTGGCTAAATAGGTTTGTTTTATAGACATCAAATGTGTAGGAAAAAAAAGTTCTTTGACCTTTCAGTATTTGGTTTTATTTTCATAGTTACTATGTAAAACATAAAATACATGGCCATGTTTTTTTTTTTTTTCAGGAATATTCTTTTGGCATCAGCTCAGACAGTGAAGATTGGTGACTTTGGCCTGATGAGGGCGCTGCCCAACAATCATGAGCACTACGTTATGCAGGAGCACCGCAAGGTCCCTTTTGCATGGTGGGTGGATTGAAAAACAAAATGATTTTTGTTTGTGAAAATGTCCTGGTAGAAAACTTTACACACCTTTGGATGATTTTTGTTTGTTAAAAATGTCCTGGTAGAAAACTTTACACAGAGAAATCTCGCTGGTAAAAGCATTACTTAGTTTTTATTTTTAGGTGTGCTCCAGAGAGTCTGAAGACCAGAACCTTCTCCCATGCTACAGATACATGGATGTTTGGAGTCACACTCTGGGAGATGTTCACACAAGGTCAGGAACCTTGGGTGGGTCTTAATGGAAGCCAGGTAAATATATATACGAGAACATTAATGAGAATTGACGAAAATGAACAAATAGTGTTGAGTACACATTGGGTTTTTTTTTTTCTTTTCCAGATTCTACACAAGCTAGATAAGGAGGGCGAACGACTCCCGAAGCCTGAGGACTGTCCACAGGACGTCTATAATGTCATGTCACAGTGTTGGGCTCAGAAACCAGAAGATAGACCTACGTTTGTCGCCCTCAGAGAGTTCTTACTCGAGGTAGGTGGAAAGAAAACGTACTGGTTAATAGCGAACGATCTCTTGCTGCTTGAGAGGCGTCTCAAGGTCCGGTTGGTGGACCGGTACGGCACGGGAAACAAGAAATCACCGAGTGTATAATTAAACGAAATATGTAGACACTTCACTAAGACTTGTTTTGTTGCTGTATTTCAGACAATGGCCACAGACATGTGTGCCCTGCAGGACTTTTCTGAAGCTGACAAATTGCTGATCCAAGTCAATGACGTCATTACCATCATCGAGGGCAGGTGAGTACCTTGAGTATAAGTTTGAGGCTAGGTCGGGCGTGGGCAGATTTTGTTTGAGTCGCGAAAGTTTAACAGTCAGGAGCAGATAGGTAGAGCGTTGATCTGAGATAATCGACATGTAAAAGTCAAGCTCAAAGGGTTAAAATGCTAAAATGCTTTTAGTAATAAATGTGGGTATTTCCTGACTGGGTCCAGTAAAAGTGTTCTGGTGCCAATTTATAAAAAGGGTGATGCACAGAGTTGTAACAACTACAGAGGGATAAAGTTGATGAGCCATACAATGAAGATTTGGGA